GAAAGTTCAAGGGGGCCGAATACTTTTGTAAGCCACTGTAGTTCTTAATGACTTTTGCTGTGTGTTTGGGGTTGTTGCCCTGCTGCAGAATACATTTGTGGCCAATAAACAATTATCTATATTTCTGAAAGCAGTCTTTGTTTACAGCAAAGAATGCTTTAAGCACTTCTCCCACCTGCCTAAAACTTTTGCAATGTACTGTATAGATAGATAGCGCTTGGCACTGTCAAGATGGATTGCTCAATATGGCTGGAAAGCAAGGTATGCCCAGTGCGGTACACACTGGGTCCAGCTGAATGAGTGGTGTCCAGCACTAAACCACATCACTTTGAAACTGACTATTGTTAGTACCACAGATTTTAGTGGTACTGATATTTATTTACACTAAATAATCAAAGTTAAATTCAGTAATTACTTCCTGTTAATTATCAGGATGTCTATTAGATCCTCTTCCTACAAGACTTCTTAAAGAAGCCTGAAAGAATTACATTTTAATTAGTACTTAAAATGATAAGTCTATCTTTATTTTACTCTGCAGGCCTTCAAGGTGGTGGTAATAAAATCATTACTTAAAAAACTGTCACTTGACCCAAATGTCTTAACTAATTATAGACCAATCTTGAACATATATTTCAACAATTCTTTAAAGAGTAGTTGTAAAACAGCTGTCTGATCATTTGCAGAGGAATGTTTTATTTGACAGTGTATAGTGGGCTTCCCTTTGTACTTATCCTACTAGAGCTTAGTAGAGCGTTTGATACTGTTGAACATAATATTTTATTACAGCGATTGGAGTATGATGTAGGTATAATTTCTTACGGTCTTCTTCTGACAGTGGACTGAATTTAGCTTTATCTATACATGAAGCTAGATAACACACCAATTACTGCAGGAAGCTCTTAAAGACAAAAAAAAACTGGATGACTTCTAATTTCCTGCTTCTAAATGCAGATAAAACAGAGGGGGTATTGTACTCAGCCCTAAAAATCTTAGAAACATGGTATCTAACCAGGTGCTTACTGTCTTGGCCAGTAACACTTTGAGGAATCTTGAAGTCATTTTAACATTGGTCTTTCAGTGACAAATTAAACAAATGTGCTGGGCTGCTTTCTTACATTTGTTCAATAGTTCTAAAATTAGGAACACCCTGTCTCAGAATGATACTGAAAAACTAGTTTATGCATTTATTACTTTTAGGATGGACTATTCTAATTTACAATCATCAGGTTGTTCTAAAATCATCCTGAAAGTTAATCCACTTAATCCAAAATCCTACAACAGGAGTACTGACAGGTACTAGAAAGAGAGAGTATATTTATTCCATATTAGCTGCTCTTCATTGGCTCTCTGTTAAACCTCTGTGTAGTTTATTTTACGTAATTTTATATATTTATACACACACACACATGCACGCACACACATATATATATATAAATATGTATACATACATATTTGGCATACTTATTCAGTAATGCGCATACATTCTTATATTTGTACATATATTTATTCTTATAATTCTCAGATTCCTATTCTTATATTTTGCTTTGTTCTTATGCTATTGTGTTTTGCACACCTCTGTTGCTTGTGAAGCTTGCACACAAGAATTATACTCGCATGTGCTGTACCAGTGTACCAGCACATGTGATGTGACAATTTGAATAAATTTAAAATCCTTCTTGTCATATGCAAGGTCTTGAAAAATTCAATTCAATTTCATATCAGTTTTATTTATATAGTTCTAAATCACAACAACATTTGCCTCAAGGCCCCATCTCATCTTAAAGACCTCATAATACCATATCATGCCAACAGAGCACTTCACTTTTGAAATTTTGATTTTAATTGTGGTTTCTAAGGTGTTTAAAAATAGAATAGTAGGCAGAGTCTTCAGCTTTCAGGCCCCTCTTCTGTAGAGTAAATGGTAAATGGTCTGTATTTGTATAGCGCTTTACTTGGTCCTAAGGACCC